CATTAAATCTACCCATGAATTCCTCCAAATACTTAAAAACACAAAAGTAAAAACAAACCCAGGCATTCTTACATCACTTGATGTAGAGAATTTATTTACTAACGTTCCCGTCTCTGAAACTATTGATATTATCATTAATTGGGTGTATAAAAATAATTTAATTCCACCTCCATCAATCCAAACTAATATTTTAAGAAAACTATTGCTCACTTACACCACTAGAGTTCATTTTTATAGCCAGAATGGTACTGTTTACGCACAAACTGATGGAGTAAGTATGAGAAATCCACTTGAGCAATACTTCTCCAATTATTATATGTCTTATGTTGAAAACAAGGTTCTTAATAAAGTTATTAAACCTAAAATATATGTTCGTTATGTAGATGATATATTTATTTTAACTAAAAACAAGAAAGAAAATCTGAAAGTTACATTTCAACAAAATTCCATACTAAATTTTACTTATGAACTTAGTAAAAAAAATAAACATACTTTCTTAGATGTTCTCATCAATTTTAGTAATAATACTTTTAAAACTTCTGTTTACAAAAAAACAACTAGTAAAGACTCTTGCCATCTTAATTTCTCTAGTAAATTCTCTCTTAGATATAAAATAGGTGTTATTAAAAATTTTCTCATGAGAGTGCATGAGAATTCATCTTCTCGCATGCTTTTCTCTAAAGAATTAAACAACATAAAGCAAATGCTTATTAATAATGGATTTTCTAATCAATTGTTGGATTTCCATATTAGGTGTTTTCTGCCTAAGGTAGCTAATAGCAATGACGAGAATAGAAACATAAACAATAACATTAATATGTTTTTATAAAAATCAAATGAATGAAAATTATAAACAAGACGAAAGTAGAATTAAGAACATTATAAAAAAATGCACTGCACCAGTTAACAATAGCAAAAAAAAATTACATTAATTATTTATTACAAAAAATTTAAAACCTCTAACCTTATAGTTAGAAATAATAATTAACTTCTTAGAACAAAATTAAATAGGGCAAATATTATTTACGTATTTAAATGCCCATTAAGGAATTGTATTCCTGATCAATCAAAATTTGTAAATAATTTTATAGGCAGCACTACAACATGTATAACATGAAGACTCATTCTACACCTTTCTGACCATAGCTCAATTAGATCTCATTTAAATATTCATGGAGACCTACCAGACACTATTCGTAACATACTTGTTGACAACACAAATATAATAGCATCATCTACATGCAAAAAAAGGATAAAAATAATGGAAGCCTTATTAATAAAAACAAAAAAGCCAACACTTAATAATATCAACTATGAACATGGACACAATATTTTGACCATGTTTTGAAAAATGAAAACATTATATAAATACATACATGCAACAAACTATTTCTTATGCTACAGTTAAAATATTTCATCTTTGAAAATGGCTAAATGTATAGCCGAAAGTCCTTGAAAAAAAGAACATTCAAACAGTTTTTACATAATTTATCAACTGAAAAGAAAAAATTATTAGATCGCATGAGAAATTGTATAAAAAAGTGGGGTTGGGACATAAAGTCAGAATTGAAAATACACTTGTGGGTATGACTTGATTAACCAATTAAATGTCAGATCTGCGCTAAATAGAAAAGTAAGTTGGGTGGAGGTAGGTGAGTTATTTTTTTTCATGCCATGATAAACCAGAACATAGGCAGGCCATCACTAACAATTGCAGAAAATATGTAAGCAGCAAATGTAGCATGATTGTAGGAAAATATGACATGTTCAGTTTTTGAAAGGATGTTGAAGGGAGGGTAGGAGGATAATCAGACGTAAAGTTAATTTCAACAGAAAAAATTTTTAAAAATTTAGATTCAGGAAACTTTTTAAAGGGGCCTGTAGATAAAATTAAAAATAAGGAACATGTATATAAGATATTAATGATACTAACTGGAAAGCAATACATAGCACTCTTAAAGCTGGATAAACAAAATAAGGTAATTACCCGTAGAGGGTGGACAATTATTTACTAATATATTATGGCTATAAAAAATGGTAATATGTAATTTTTAAAATTTAACTATATTTTAAGGTAAAAGATAAACTGTGTCAGCAATTTCCAGTTAATTCACTTCTTTGGTTTAATAGGGATTTTTTGTCAGCAAATTTGATGATTTCTAGTTTTTCATGTAAACAAAAGAAGCAAGGTTCATTTGAAGATTTACAAGTTATAGAAATCCAACAGTTAAAAACTATTATATTGGGAGCACCTAAAATTCCTTTAAAACTAAGTAGTATCAATATATATTATCTTCCACCAATAACACATGCAAAAATAGAGCATTAGAATCAGGAATATATATCATGGCATGAAAAAAATAACTCACCTGCCTAAACCCTCTGAGCTTACTTTTCTATTTAGCGCAGATCTGACATTTAATTGGTTAATCAAGTCATACCCATAAATCTAATTTTAATTCTGACATTAGGTTCCCCTCCCCCTTTTAACTTTTGGAAAAGGGGTAACACTTTGTTTTTTTAAATTTTCTTAAAAATCATTTAATCACCAGTTACTTATCATTATCTGAAGAAGTACAATGAAAGTATTGAAACGTGAAAGTTTTAGTGTTGTGATTTCAACATGTTTTTATTATAATCTCTTATAATAAAAATAATAATAATATATTGCTCTGCTTTGTATTGAGCACTTTTTTTAAGAGTAAATCCTATGAACAGTGGAATTTTACTCCATCTATTCTTTCTCTCATTTCTGTGTGTGTGTGTGTGTGTGTGCATATATATATATATATATATATATATATATATATTTTATTTACTATTTGGAAAAATAAGTATTGAATAACATACACACACACATACACACACAATATATATATATATATAAATGTTCACTTTTGATTCATTAAAAGGATTTTTTTGTGGTAAATCAATGTCATTTTAGTATAATTATGGCCATAATATTATTTTATGATTAGACTTACATCTACTTATGTCTCTTTACCTGTCAAATGCTTCTGTGACTGCAGAACATATATTTAATTGCTGCAAAAGCCAGCAATGCTAAGCATCACTTCAAATGCCTTTAGAGAGCAAAGATAATCAAAGTAAAGTTGTCAAGAAAAGTTGATTTGTGAGTGTCTTTTCTACAAATCTTGAAAAGTTAGCATTAACAACAACATCAAAGAACAAAATACTCTCCTTTCTCCATTTTTACAACTCACTGAATTTTATTTTCTTTGTAAACAGAATATTAAGTTGTGTTCTTTCTGATATTTAAAACTTGATTTGATTCATTACTGGTATCATCAAATAGAATCCATTTTGTGTATCAGATTGCTTAATAGGTAAATTTTAGTTGAGCAATCATACAAACATATTCAATATAATGAAAGTATGCTTTTGTTTAGTCTGGATTTGATACTAAATATCCCCTGATGTCATATGAGTAAGAATAATAAGAATTATATGGGCTAGAAATGCCAGTCATAATCATCTTTGTTATATGAGATGTTAATCTCTGCTTTTTTCACTTATGATCCAATATTTCTGCAATGAACTTAATTGTCATAAGCACACATATTATCTTACATTTATTTATTAATTAATGATGATAAAAGTGTTGGGAATTTCATGAAAACAATTTAAAAATATCTGATTTGTATGAAATTTAAGCTAAAACAAGTTAATAGCTTACTGGCTTTTAATTATGGCATGGTTGTTTTTCTTTTATAGGAACCTTATTGAAAATTAAATTCTCTCTTCCTTTCTCTCACATACACCAATCATACAAAATATCTCTCTCTCTCACACACACACAATCTTGTACAAATGGTCAATTTGAACTCCAAGCATGTCACAGGTATAGCAATTAAGTTGATGTATTCTTATAAGATAGTAATTAATCAGAAAAATTGATAAGAAAATTGTGTCATCTGCATGCCTATGTTATTTTATAAATGTGTACTTTGCTGAACATGTTATTTTGAAACTTATAAAAATGGATTTTGTTACAGATAATCAGCTATAAATGTTCATCATTATTACTAAAGTGTCTACATGTTATGTATTTATGTGTTTTTAGGTTATTTAAAGTGATTTAACAAAGATATTTAGAAACAAAATTAAACTTTCAGCTTTTACTATAAATTTGAATACATTTTTTTATGACTGAAACAATTCAGATATTTTTTGTACTCCCTTATTTTTTTCCAAATAAATTATATATTTGGCAATCTTATATTTAGATTTTATTTGTTTCTATTCTCAAAAAGTAGAAGTTCATTTTTGCTAGCTATACAAATAAGCCATCTATTAGCTTTTTATAATTCCAATTTTAATGATGTTTAAATCATTGATCCAGTTAAAGTATCAAATCCTAAAATAGAATGAAGAAATGTTTTTTTGTTTTTTTTAATTTTAGGTGGCCATAGCTGTGAATTTAACCATTTCCTGACAGACTGGCCAGATTTGGTCAGTCAAACCATATCTAATAATACATTTTTATAAGCATATCTAATCATACCTATTATCTTTAAAGTGATATGTGCTACTGAATCAGTTTAATCAATGTGGAAGTGTTCTTTGATATTACAGATTTATTTTGTAATTTCTTTTCAATATTCTTCTATGTGCCATGACCCTTCAGGACATTGGTGATTATGGCTCAACACAATTTCCTGTCTTCTGTAGGTCTTAAAAAATTTTGTCTTTTTGTTATCCCTCATAAATTCATTTACACAAGCTCCCTAGATAGGTTATGCATTGTTTTCCTCTGTCACTCCTGCCTTTAATCTGTTCTGTAACTATTAAATTTTCTCAGCCTTCTTTCCTCATTATGTGCTCTAGAAATTTCAACTGTCTCTTCCTGGTGTTAAGTATAAATATCCTTTTTGTTTCCATTTTCTTTAAAACTTTGTTGTTGCTCACATGTTTGGTCCATGGTATTCCCAGTATCCTTTTGTAGAACCACATTTCTGTTAGGCTTATGGCTGCATCACATTGAAGTACTGATTCCCATACGATCACTGAAGTTAAACAATGTTGAGCCTGGTCAGTACCTAGATGGGTGACCACTTGGGAATACCAGGTGTTGTAAGCTTATATTTGGGGGTGGTGTAATGGATAATAGTTCAGAATTGTTAATTGGAGAACTAAGTTCCAATTCCACTTGGGTTCCTTATATTCACTTACATGCAAATACCCTTGGAAAAGGTATGAATTCACCTATTCTCATCCTAGGTAGAGGTTAATTAATAAGACTTATATCACTAAACCATTATTATCTCCAAAGATAAAAAAAATAAAATTTTGTACAAAATATTTAGATTTTAGCATTTAATAAGCCCATATGCTGCTAAACAAAAACAATCAACCAACCAACCTTTCTGTTAATACAAGTCACTTCTTTATCTATGAGAAAATTGTCCAGCATTCGGACTGATATTACATTAGTTCAGTACTCTTTAATTTGTTTCTAATGAAATTTTCCTGTTTTTTAATACTTTGCTCAGCTCATGTAATGCATCTTTAGCTATTCCAATTTGCTTCAGATTTTGGTGTCCTCTGTTAAAACACTTCCTAGATATTTTAATTGTTATACTAGTTTAATTTTGGTATCTCCAATTTGTAATTTGCATGTTGGGCTCTCTCTTTTGCTGACCACGTATCTAGAAGAAGTTAATGCTCATCATCTCATTTTTCGGATGGTAAGCATTAATATGTTATAGGTAAAAACCTATAAATAATACCAGATTTTTTTTTTTTTATAATTAATAGCAGATTTTTGGTGGTCATTAATGGGTTAAAACTGGCAAAATTTAGAAATAAATTTTGTCTGGATAAGGTTAAGCCTCTCTCATTTGAGTTCTGTTATATTTGCTTCAAATAAAAACTTATATTCAAGGTTTAATTCAATCTTTATATGTTTTTCAGCGTAACTTGCAACTTTCTAGACAAGTGCAAGAATTGACTGATGAAATGAGTCGTCAGTCTGATTATTGTTCTAGTTTGGGATCAGCTTGCTGTACATTATTATGGAGAGTATCACGCTGTGAAGAAAGCATCCAGGCCATTCTTATTGGGGTAAGTTCATTTTGCTGAGAGTTACTATCCAGTTTAGATTAGTTAATAAAATAACTACGCTACTAAAGTTTGACAGCTTTTTTTTTTTTTTTTATATGTAACACTACCTTCATCTTTTCTCTAGATAGAATTATATCAAGTTTCAAAACCAGAAAAAATTATCTCCTTAAACTCAACATAAGCCAAAATTAAACTCATGGTTGTTAAGTGGTCATCTGTTAGGATAAAAGTATATCTATTGCTTTATGTACTGTTTCTTATTACATTGTATAGCTTAATCCAAGTTAATTTCACTTGGTTAAACAAACATCAAATAGGTATAAACTCATTTTATAAAAAAAGGAGATTGTTAATTTTTCCTCAGTGATATTTTTTCATTATGTTGGTTTTTCAGTTTTTTTATTAAATAGTTTGATGAATGCCAAATGTGAATTCCCTTGAATGACTGCCATTCCAAAAACTGATACAAAAATAATTCTAAAACAAAGAAATAGGTTAGATGTGGGCTACAGTGAGTATTGAAAATTGTAGCTTCCTGTTAAAAATAGCATAAAACTTATATTAAAATCTTCATAAATTTTCTTTAAAAAGACTGTGATATTCATAAGTAAATATATGATAATTTAAATCTCTTGACTGTTATTAAAATTATAATTACATTTGTTCTGAATTTATTTTAATAATAATCTTGTAAAACCCAACGAATGTCAACTTTCTAGATGTGAATCAATTTTTTACAAAAGTTCCGTCATATAATTCTAGGAACAGAGATGGGAATTGAAATAGAGTTAAAACATTTCTATACATTGAAGTTGATTTCAACATTGCATTGAAATGAAAGTTAATTTTATTATGTTTCAGTTAAATATTTCAATTTGTTTGTATCATCATTGGTCTGGTTTACAATTTTATGTTTAATGTTTTACTGACTGTTTACAGCATTTAATAGAAGTAGAACTTCAGGATAAACTTTTGATTTTAATTTTTAAATATGCCATAAAATATTGTTTGTTTAAAGAAAGCTGAAATATAAATAATTACTCTGCAAACAACTGAATGAACGGCAAAGTGGGATCTCTTTGTGTCTGTCTTTAACTTAAAAATATTTTAATTAAAAAATTATCAGTTTGAAGAACGTTAAAATAAAAATCCTTACTGTATTCTGTAATTGAATTCACATCTATTTTGCCAGCAAATTCATGAACCAGTGAGGCTAATCTGTGGGGTGATAGCCGAGTAGATTAAAGGGTTGGTTCATGAATTTGGTGGCAAAGTAATTGTGAGTACAAGGATAGGCTCTTAAGTGTAACTTTTACTTATTGCTGTAATCATTCCTTCTATTGCATGAAAACATTAAAACTTAATTAGTCACTTAAAGAATTATGTCCACATTTCTTACTCTATAAAATATCCAAATGTTTTCAATGAGTGTACTGATATTAAGGCATTATAAAATATATATTTATTATTCATTAGTTGTCATTAGTCCAAAGTACGTTGGCGTCTTTGGTCTCATTTCTTGAAGTATTTTACTGTATCAGATTTTAATATCCAAGTTAATGTTTTCACACCAAAATTCTTATTAATCAACTGATATTAGTAAATTTTCCAGGATATATTTATATGATAAATGTACTATGTGAATTTTAGCTTCTGTTTTTATTACAATGACCGATTTGGTGGCGAGAGATTTTATTAGACAACTCAAGGTTGTTCATCACATTGTAAATAAATATATATAATAATATAGTTACTGATATTTCTTTTTCATTTTGGATATATAAATACTGTTATAGGTCTTTAGAAAGCTATAACCTTAAGAGAAGTTTTTGATTGCTTGGAAAATAATATTGGAAATGATAATTTAAACTGAGATCATAGAACAGTTAAAAGGAAATTGAATAGATTGTCAAGATAAGGAAAAGAAAAAAAAAACTGGCTTTAAGAATGTTAGAAAAAAGATTTGAGAAAAAAATGAAAAGGATAATAAGCAAGGAAATTGGATTAACCAATAAGAAAATATATGAAGAATCTGATGTTGCAAATGTAGACAAATAAAAAGGATGCAGAATATTAAGAACATTGGCTACATGCATAAATGCAACCAAACTAGCATGTTTAAACAAATATCACAAACAGAAATGTGTATGTTGGGTGAAGGACTACATGAAAACTGATTTTTAACAGAATTTTTTAGTGATGTCTATAAGTCTATATTGGATGTACTGGTAGTCAGCCTAGAGGTTGTGTACTTCATAGAAACAGTCAACCAACATGATGTTGTTTATTACATTTACTTATATGCTAATACCCTTGGAATGAATATCTATTCTCCTCCCAGCTATGAGTAAATAGCTAGACAGACTGGACCCTATAGCCTTGGGTGGCAACAAGTCTAGGAGAAGTATAGCTCTGAATTCAAAACTTGAGGTTGTTTGTTTGTAGACATTGTGGCATGTTGTGCACCAGTTCTATGTATTTAGATCTTTCAAAAAGTGTGGTTGGTTCTGCACTAGTCTTCTCCACTATAAACAAATCATATGTGCAAGTTGTCTCGTTGTTTAGTTCAATGAACTGAGCTACTAAACCCTCATATGTAAAAAAATGACTGCAGAGGCCTCTATCTCTCTCTCTCTCTCTATATATATATATATATATATATATATATATATAATATGGAAAACAGTATTCAAACAAAGAAAATCTGGAAAGCACTAAAAACTCCTGTTAAATTTCAAATGGTAAAAATGTTAGCAAAATGAATAAGTGAAACGCTGATGAAGGTTACAAAATATCAAGGAGTCTGTTAACATGTAAAATAATTCTGGTATATAGCATATTATTTTAATCAAATATATATTTATGTATGGCTTTATTTATGAATAGAAATTTATGTTGCACTTAGCTTGTTTGTGTAATAAAACCTGACATCTCTAAAATACATTATTATCCGTATTTTGAATAAGTATATATATAAGCTGAAACCCACATGATATATTTCTCATATAAGTATATCCAGAAGATTTTACCAACAGTGGTTGATTGGTACTGATTTCATTGGGAAAGCATGGACTTGTGTAATAAAATCAGATATAGTGTATATATATCCTAGCAAGAACTATAGATATTTGTATGTACTTTTTAAAATTTATGGACAGATTGAATGTCTTAATTTATTTACCTTTCCGTAAATTACTGATTTATATCAGCTGCTGTTTAGGGTAACTATATCAGTTTTATTCCTTAATCAGTCCATGTTATATTACACTAATGTTAACCACAAGTGATAATAAGAAACATTTCTGTACAAAATGAAAAAATTAAAGTGAGTATAGAAGAAAAATCTGGTTACTTTTGTTAAGATGCATAAATACTGAGTAAAGAGCTTAGGATTTTTAGTCATTGCTATTTTTGTTTTACACCATTTTCTTTTCTGTATAGAAGTTTTTGTTGTTCTTTTTATAAAATTTAATCCATCATCACTGATGAAAAACAAATGCCCTGGGAGTATATTAGATATTTGCAACTAAAGTTGTATATTTAGATGCACATGTGCACATAATGTCAGTGAGTTTGCTTAGGTTCAAAGCTCTATTGCTATATAGACAAGTTATATGCTTCATTAACTTTTATAAAATATTTTTGTTAAATATGGACTGTTTTTAACCATGAGGAAGCCCCCACCCGGCAAACACAGGCTGTTTTTAAACGTGAGCTATTGGGCTGGTCTTTTGAACAGGAGTAGATTTCCCATTTAGGATTGGGTTTCTGGTTCCTTCTAAGTCTACTTCAACTCTATATTTCTAATGTCTCTGTCTGAACACTGAATTGTTTGTCACTAATTATTTTTTCTCTTCCCCTAATAGGAATAGATAGGCTCACCTATTGTTTGGTTTATACATCTCCACAATTTTTTCAACAGGAGTAGAGGTTTATCCCTTGTTTCCTGTTTAGTACTCTGTACTTCTTATGTCTCTGCCTGAAATCTGAAATTTTATATAGTAATTATTTTTTCCTCTCCCAATAAGAATAGATAGGTTTGCCTATTGTCCAGTAATTACACTCCTCCCCGGTCTCTTGAACAGGAGTAGAGGTTTGTGCCTTGTTTTCTGTTTAGGATTGGGTTTCTGGTTCTTTCTAAAGTCTACTTGAACTCTATATTCCTAACATCTCCACCTGAACTCTGAAATTTTATTCACTAATTAAATCTTGACTTCTTCAAGTCTAGAATTAGTTGTCTATCTTTCGTTATTTGGCCCTTTCTTATGCTAATACAACATCATTCAGTAACCCTCTATCTTGAGTGGCCCCTGGGCCTTGTATCAAGTAAACATTAGTAAACAAAACAAAATGAAGTAAAATTGCTTTGTGGTTTATTTGCTTTGCAGCCGTGTAAATAGAATCTAGCTAACTGATCTACTGAATAGAGAGATTTACTTGCAAGGTGAAACAAAAGTCAGTTGGTTTATGGTTTCACATAAAAGCTTTCACTATTAAATTGAATTGTGCATTCTCATATTTGTTTAGAAGTTGCAATTTCACTCTGATAAGCTTTAAGTGCTATTTTTATATAATTTTAGAAGGTGAATTATGTTACATGGCTCACCATTGAGAATCAGACATGCAGCTATGTAATGTGTGTGTAATAATCATTCTAAAATAAAATGTTGAAAATGTTTTTACATTATTAACCTTTATCACTCTGTATGTGACTTCATTTGCTGTACAAAAAGTTTATCATGCCACTGAAGGTGACTCTGATCCCTGAATTTGAATTTGTTGGAATTTCATAGTTGTTATCATATCCTGCTATGGCAACAGAAAACACCTTTAAGTGAAATTAATAATAAGGTTACTGCCTTGAAAAAGAATGTAGTGGAAAGGGAAGTAATATTAATAATGCAATGTGCTAATGGTTTTAATCAATAATACTGAATGCCAAATATCATATGTATAAATTTTTTAAACTAAACTCTGATACATATACTATGATCATAATC